ATCTATATCATCTATATCTATATCTGTATATATCATCTCTCCTATGCATCCTATTGAGAAGGAGATTTTTAACTTTCATCTTTGTCAGTGTTCAGTAAAGTTGCCTAAACATACTGCTTGTGTATTTGTTAAAGCATCATGACCACTCATCTGTTTTTTTGTATTGTGGTGATTTCATGTTACTGTAATACTAGAATCTAATCCACTGGTGTTTAAAAGACTAATGGGGTCACCTATGGTAGATAGTTTTAAGAAAAGTTTTCTGAGCATGATAGATGGGAAGAAAGACATAAATATACACATGTTAAAAGGCCAGTGAAAATATTGAGTAAGTTTTGATTTTTCAATCTAAATCTCTGATATCATTTTGGGAAATTGAGCTTCTCATGTTGGAAGGCACTAAGATTGAGAAAAAGTTTCCTCCTCAAAGTATTGTTGCTGTTGTTGTTATTATTGTTATGTGCAATCAAGTCACCTGCGACCCAAAGCGACCTTGAAGCCTGCCATGTCCTGAGCCAGTCTTACTGATTTTGACACATCAACCCTTATTGCCCTTGCTACTGTATCAATCCATCTCATCTAGGTCTTCTTCTCCCGTGCTGTCTCTCCACAACTCTGAGCATGTTGTACTTCTCCAAGGACCGATCCCTCTTGGCCATGTTCCCAGAGTATCTGAGACAGATCTTCAAAATCCTAGTTTCCACAGAGAAACTTGGTTTCACCTTCTCCAAGACAGACCTATTTGGTTTTTATTTTTTAAAAGCGTGAAGTACACAGTTTTAGTATGAACCACAAGGAACTGCCATACATTGGATCTACTCAATGGCAACTAGTTTGGGCTTGTTATCTTCATGTAGAAGATCAGAAGTCAGTAGAAATGAGTGACATATTTGTTTTCATATGTCAAGTGTATTGTTGTTAGTTGTTATGTGCTGTCAATTTGCTTCCGACTCATAGCAACCCTATGTACAAGAGCCCTAAATCTTGCTCTATCTGTGCCAACCTCACTGTCTCTGACACACCTATTCTCATTACCCCAATCACTGAATAGATCCATCTCATTGAGGGTCTTCCTCTCCTGTGTCATCCCTTCACCCTCCCAAACATGATATCCCTATCCAATGACTGGCCCTTCCTTGCAACATGCCCAAAGTATGTCAAATGAAGCTTCAGAATCCTTGCCTCTAAGGAGCAGCCCAGTTTCACCCTCTCTAGGATGAAACTGTTTGTTCTCCTAGCAGTCCATGGTAAATTCAACACTTTTCTCCAGCACCAAAGCTCAAAGGCATCAATTCTCTATCAGCCCTAGTAACTGTCCAGCTCTCTGACGCAATTATGAAGACTATGGCCTGTATTAGGTGCACCTTAGTCTCCAACTTGACGTTGTTGCTCTTCTGTACTCTGGAGAGGTCTTTGCCAGCTGACTTTCCCAATTCATCTCTTGATTTCATGGCCGCTGGTTCCAAGAGTGTTGATTGTGGAACCAAGTAAACTAAAACTGTTAACAATCTCAATCTTTTCATTAACCATAATGATGCTGCCAGTTGGCCATTGGTGAGAATCTTTGTTTTCTTGATTTTGAGCTTCAATCCTTATTGAAGGCTGCAGTATTTGACCTTCTGCAGTGAGCTCTTCAGGTCCTCCTCAGTTTCAGCAAGCAGGGTCATGTCCTCTGCATAACGCAGGTTATCGGTGAATCTTCCTCCAATCCTTATGCCACATTCCCCCTTGTACAACCCAGTGTCCCAGATGATCTAGTCTGCATACAGATTGAAGAGGTATGGAGACAGAATACATCCCTGGAGGACACCCTTCCCAATTTTGGACCACACAGTGTCTCCTTCCTCTGTTCTGATGACTGCCTCTTGGTTTCAAGTATAGGTTTTGCATAAGCACAATCAAATATTCTGGGATTCCCATTCTTCTCAAAGTCAGCCACAGTTTGTGAGATCCACACAGTCAAAAGCCTTTGTATAGTCAGTCAATGGAACACAGATACTGGTGTACCAGAGATTTTGATACTCTCTGCTTTCTGCCAAGATCTATCTAACATTAGCTATAATATCTCTTCTAAACCCAGCCTGCACATCTGGCAGTTCTCTGTTGAAGTATTGCTCCAGTCGTTTTTTTTATAATTTTCAGCAGAATCTTGCTTGCATGTGATATTAATGATACTATTTGATATTTTCAGCACTCTGTTGGATGAAGAAATCAAGAAACAAAAGAGCTGGACGGAAAATTTCAAAGAGCAGCTTGGGATGACAAAGCAAGGTATTATAATGAAATGTGTAAAGAGCTGGAGTCAGAAAATCAAAAGTGCCAAACTCACTCGACATTTCTTAAGCTGAATGAATTGAAAAACAAATTCAAGTCAAGAGTGGCAATACTTAAGGATGCTTTGGGCAGAATGTTAAATGATCTAAGAAGCATTAAAAGAAGATAGAAGGAGTATAAAGAGTCACTGTACCAGAAGGAATTGGCTAACAGAAGAATTTAATGAAACATCATATGAGCAAGAGCCTGTGGTGATGATGGAGAAAGTTCAAGCTGCTTTGAAAGAATTGGCAAAAAACAAGGCCCCAGGCTGCTCTGGTTGTGCTCACTCAGTTGTGCCAAGAAATCGGGAAGCAAGCAAGCCACCTGGCCAACTGACTGGAAGAGAATGATATTTGTTCCCATTTCATGTCAAGTATAAATTGTAAAAATTGTGTGTTTGAATCTCATTGGCTTTTATGTACCTATATTTGGCTTGATTTTCTACTCTCTGAGCAGAAACTAGAAGTTTGTCAGAAATCTCTGTGGACTCAATCCCAGTGATTTGACCAACATTGGAATTAGAATGTAAATTATTATTAGAATTTTCCCTCAGGGGCTAGAAGTCTAATATAAACTTATCTTCTAAGCGTTGCTCAGAAAGAAGACTTGGTGCTCTGCTACTTGTTGTTTTCTGTAAATTTAATTTGTGTGTGTGAAAGAATAGGCAAATTCATTGCTGAATTTTAGTGAGTATGTATTACAGTCAATGAAGAGAGACATGAGATAAAGATATATGAAATAAACATAGCCAAGATGAACCAAGCAGGAAAAGAATTCTATTTTTAAGATTGCTAAGATTATGCTTAAATGTTAATAATGCATAAATACGTGTAAGAAAGCCTGTGGAAGTTACCAGGTATCTTTTTAAGCTTTGTCTTGAATGAAATGAACTTTTATTACAACAGAAAGGAAGGAGGCCAGTAGAGAACTACCCTTTTTTTATTTAACATTGGAAAACTTTTTATTGGGATCAAAAAGCCTTTCTTTTGAATTTTAAAGTTGATGGGTGCTAATATTTAACCTCAACTCAAGGAAAAGATATTCAAGAGTAAGTCTCTTCATCTTTATCTTGAGTGACTCAGTTCTTTCACTATCATTTTGGAGGTGTTACTTAAGTATCTTTGTCATTCCTTTCAGACTACTGAAGAAGGTTTTGTTTGTGGGTTGGTTTTTTTTCTATTGAGTTGTAGTTTTCCCAGAGAGTTATGAAAAAGGTTTTTCCTAGTCTACGTATTATCCAAGGCCTTCAGGATTGTCCCAAACACATACTTTTCCTTTCATGTTGACTCTACAGCCAGAGCATCATTTAAATATTCTCCTGGAGTACCAGATGTGCTATATAAGTGAGCAAAAGTATGCAGATGACTTTACTCAATCTTACTCTCCTTGCCCCCCCAACTGGTAGCTCTTCAGCTTGTAAGTAAAAAACAGTGACTTCTTACCGTCTCACAAAGAGTTGGGAGAACATTTTTGTCTCTCTCACACAGTCTGTTTCTGTGACTTAGAGAGCATCCTAAGCTTGGGTCAGAGTTTATACACGTTTGTCTCTATGACAATCAATAATGAAGAGGAGTCATTGTGAGAAATTATGCATTTTGTGATTGTAGAAGTGACTATGAGTCTTAATGTGGTTTATTTACATAGTAGATTACTTATAGACATATTTTATTTCTTCTGCAGGGTATTAACTTAGCCTCAATGCATATGTTGTTTGTGTTTTTTTTTTTAAATGCATAGTTTTGATGTTTCCAATATCACTCACCGAAGTGTAGATTTCCATTTGTAAGTAAATCTTATTGTTGTTGTTCTTAAGTATCTTCCAGTCAGGACAGACTTATAGCTGACCCTCCAGGGCATGTTCCAAGGCAGTAAGTCACTGGGATGGGAGGAGATTGCCCATCTTGTGCTTGTGGAGCAATTGGTGGCTTGAAACCGCATGTCTTTGGGTTGGCAGCCCAGCTCCCTACTACTAGACTGCCAGAGCTCCCCAAATGACTCTTAGTGCTTCCAACGTAAGTGGCAAACTTTGGATGCTAGAAATATACTTTAAATTTTCTGTGAGCCTTTCTTGTTTGACAGTAAAACTAGAGAGTGATTCAGTGGATACTCTGAATTAGTACATGATCTGACTCTGGTGGACTAGGGGTAAGAAAAGGTTCTTCTATTACCTTTTTACCAAAGACTGACAATCTTCTCTGAAAACTTGCTGGAGGGTCAGCTAGGAATCAGTTTCAACAGGACAGCACACAAAAATAACAGGGAAAGGGTAAGTAGAGCTTCAGTAAAGATCCAGTCATGTAGAAATGAAACGTTTTAGTCTATACTAAAATAGTAAGCTGGAAGTTGATATACCATCTCTTCCCTTCATCTTTTGCTCTCTTCCTCCTATCCTCCTCTACTACTATTCTTCTCCTCCTCTTTCTCTTTCTTTTCTCTCACTCTTACCCCTACAGGATGAGCAACTTGATCTTTGTGGACCAATGACAGGATGATACCCCTCAACAATAGCATTTTTCACCCAGCCACGTTTTTCCTCCTGGGAATTCCAGGTCTAGAAGGGATCCATTCCTGGATCTCACTGCCATTCTGTTCTGTCTACCTTGTGGCATTTTTAGGCAATGTCACAATTCTCCTAGTAATCAAGACAGAGAAGACCCTTCGGGAGCCCATGTTCTACTTTCTAGCTATTCTTTCGACAATTGATTTAGCTCTTTCTACTACATCTGTACCTCGCATGCTTGGCATCTTCTGGTTTGATGCTCATGAGATTAACTTTGGATCTTGCGTGCTTCAGATGTTTTTGATACATGCTTTCACTGGTATGGAAGCAGAAGTTTTACTGGCCATGGCCTTTGATCGTTATGTGGCCATCTGTGCTCCACTACATTACACAACCATCTTGACAGCTCGTGTACTGTTGGGGATCAGTATGTGCATTGTCATTCGTCCAGTGCTGTTTACACTTCCCCTGATTTATCTTATTTACCGCTTGCCCTTTTGCCAAGATCATGCAATAGCCCATTCTTACTGTGAGCACATGGGAATTGCAAAATTATCATGTGGAAACATCCGTGTCAATGGTATCTATGGGCTCTTTGTAGTTTCACTCTTTGTCTTGAACTTAGTCCTTATTGGCATTTCCTATGTCTATATTCTCCGTGCTGTATTCCGTCTCCCATCCCAGGATGCTCGAATAAAAGCTCTAAGTACCTGTGGCTCTCATGTTGGAGTCATCTGTGTTTTCTACATCCCCTCAGTCTTCTCTTTTCTTACTCACCGATTTGGACACAAGATACCACGCTATATTCACATACTTATTGCCAACCTCTATTTGGTTATCCCACCTTCACTTAACCCCATAATTTATGGAGTGAGGACTAAACAGATACGTGAGCGTGTATTCCATGTTTTCACTAAAATATAGTACTCCTACCACCTGACTCATCATTATTCATTATTGAGAGATGCTTTGCCTCACATACATACTTTGAGCATGTTGCTAGGAGGTGCTATTCTTTGAGAAGGACATGATGCTGAGAAGGTTTGTGGGTCAGTGAAGAAGAGGAAGACCCTCTACCAGGTGTATTGACACGGTGACTGCTACAATTGGTTCTTAATGCCAAGAAGTGTAAGGATGGCACAGGCTAGAACAGGGTTCAGATTTTTTGCTCATACGGTCACTATTCATTTTACTCAACTCAACGGCACCTAACAACAACCGCCTTACAAAGAATTTTGATGTAGCAAGGACTGTTGCTGTTAAAAATGTGGCTCTTAATCTTAACCTTACTGCTGCAAATTGATGGCATATATAATTTATTCCTGATTGATGATTAAGGGATTCGGAGACTTGAAGAAAAGTCATTGTATTTCAAGTTAAAAGGCTAACTGACTATTATGGAAAAAAGTAGCTTCTATATGCATGACTTCACTTAGAGTTCTTAAGAAAATGATAACTGTCAAATTCATTCCAGCTTTTGACCATCCCAGTGCGTACAAAACAGAACTGTATCAGGTCTTCCTTCTGCAGTGCCACTGGATGAGTTTGCACTGCTAACATTTCACTCAGAAGACAAGAAAAAACCATGTGTGACACTCAGGAACCATTTAATAGCATAAGGTTACTTCTTTTATCGAGAAAGAAGTTAATATAGAAGGTCTTTTATGCTGCATAATTACAGATATATGGCATTGGGTATTTCAACCCTGTGTTTCACATGCACTCATTTAATTTCTCATTCAACATGTCTGTGATGCTTCATTGGGGATGAAAAATCAATGAACCATAATAATAATTTAATCTGTGAAGGTTATATTCAGTTATACTCATAAAAATACTAAGTTCAGATATTTGAAATAAAACAAACAAAAAAATTTACTGTTAAACTTACAGAGTGTATAAAAATATCTGCCAGACGCTGAAGATTTAGCCAAATAATAGCTCAAAGAAAACAAGTAAGAACTCTATTATATGATTACCACTCTGTATTCAAGCCTATAACTTAAACGTAGCAGGATCTTGCTGCAATAGAATTGAGTATAATCATCTATGTGATGTATTTATATAATGTGTGCTGCTTTAACTTATTCACTCGTTCAGTATATTTCTTCAATTCGTATTTTATCCCCACATACTCTATCTTCAGCTCTAAGGTCTCTCAGTCCAAAATCATGATGTCTTCAATAGCTCCATGGATTTTAATGTAGAAGCTGTCAGACCAAGTTGTGAATATCTACTTTTCACAAGCTGAAGAACTTAAAATGTATTTAATACTGGAATTTCCAAAGGCCCAAGGAAGGGTTTTTCTTAAGATAATTTTATCATATTGCTTTACACTACTTAAAATAGTAATCATTTTGCCTATTTCAGATTCTTAAATTTTAAAATTACCTAAAGTAAAAATATAACATTAACTTTGTTATTACTATTCAGAGTTAATATTTTTTTCCTTTATTTCAAATACATGTTTTAATAAGTGTATCTAACATTAAATCTGACATAGACATCTTACATTGCCTCAACCCTGTCTCTATACTTTTTATCATGGGTACAGATATGTTTTTTGAAAATCAAAAATTAAAGTTATAGTTTTATATCTGATCACAATACTTTTATTAGACCATTTTTTATTGGTATGTGGAAAAAAATATATTGTGCGTTGTTATATAACACTGGTAAGATTTATAATTACTGTTGTTAGTTGCCATAAAATCTACACTAATGGTTACTTAACAGGTAACAGAATAAACATTACCCAGTTCTATGATTTTTGCAGTTATTAACCATATTTCATTTTATAGCTATCATAAAGGATTATTCTTATTTTTCTATTAGCTTAACCATAGTTGAAGCTTCTTTCTTGACAATGTACTTAAATAAGATGGAGTCTTAGTGACCACTTTAAGGAATTTTCTGGCTTTATTTCTTGCTAGACAGGTTTATTATTTTTTTTTCTGGCACTTTATATACTAGTCTTCATATTCATATATGTTTGTTGTTGTTATTGTTATATGTCACGGAACTGCATGTGCACATGGTTTGAATCCTGCTCTATCTTGAGCCAAACTCATCGTCTCTGACACACCTACCCCAATTACCCCAGTCACTGAGTCAATTCATCTCATTCAGAATCTTCCTCTCCTGCTCTCACCCTCCACACTCCCAAGCATGGTGTCCCTCTCCAAGGACTGGAACCTCTTTGCAACATGCCCAAAATATGTCAGGTGAAGCTTCAAAATCCTTGCCTCCAAGGAACAGCCTGGTTTCACCCTCTCCAGGATGAACCTACTAGTTCTCTTAGCAGTTCATGGTATATGCAATACTCTCTCCAGCCACAGAACTCAAAGTCGTCAATTCTTCTGTCATCTTCAGTAATTGTCCAGCTCTCTGATGCACATCAAGTAATTGTGAAAACCATGGCCTGTATCAGGCACACCTTAGTCTCAAGACTGACTTTGTTGCTCTTCAGTACTCTGCTGAGGTCCCCGACAAAAGACTTTCCCAACGCAATTAATCTTTTTATCCTGGATGCTGGTACCAAGAGTGTTGATTATGGAACCAAGCAAATGATAGCTGTTAACAATCACAGTCTCTTTATCATCTATCATGATGCTGCCACTTGTCCCAGTGGTGGGAATGTTTTCTTGATGTTTAGCTTCAATCCACATTTAAGACTACTTTTGACCTTCTGCAGCAAATGCCTTAGGTCTGCAAGCAAGGTTATGTCATCTACATAACATATGATGAGTCTTCCTCCAATTCTGATATCACATTCTTCCTCATAGAGTCCAGCCTTCCAGATGATCTGTTCCACATATAGATTGAAATGATATGAAGATACACTTCTCTTGGCATACACCTTTCCTGATTTTGAACCATGCAGAGTTCCCTTGCTCTGAGAATTATGACGCGAAACCGTAATAATATGTACTTCATGCTTACTAGGATGGTTAAAAAGGACTCTGTCAGTACAGCAATTAAAACACTTGCTGACTGGAAAATTGGTGTTTGAACCTATGAGCTATTATGAATGAGAAATAATTCTGTTTTCCCCATAAAGATTTATACCCTTGGAGATAGTATGGAATAGTGGTATGCTCTGCTGTAGGGTTACTTTGAGTTGGAATAGATTTGCCAAAAGTGGGGAAAGATGACTAAAATTGAAAAGACAGACAATTGCAAGTTATGGCTACAATGCGGTTAACTGGAACCCTTATTGATTCATTGTTGGTGTGGTTGCATAGCTTTTGGAAGTTACTCAGTGTTAAATCTAGATGCTCATCTAATTGAATATTTATATATGTGTGTGTGTGTGTGTGTGTGTGTGTATTGTGTGTATGTGTATTAAGTGTGTGTGTGTATACACACACACACACACATATATATACACACACACAGTTGTCAGATACTGCTGAGTCATAATCAACCCATAGCTGGCTCTGCAGATGGTGTTTAGAGGAAATAAATCACATCAGAGGAGACTGTCCAGCCTTCTTTGCAGAACAGCTGATGGACTCAAACTGTGTGCCTCTGAGTTGACAGTGCATCTTTCTTTTCTACTAGGCCACCAGAGCTCCCTTTGTGTACGTGTGTGTATTTTTTTTGTATGTGAAGATAATTTAAACTTATGTACACATACAAATTATACAAATATTTAAAGCAGCATTTTTAATAACAGTTCCAATGTGAAAAGACAACTGATAAGTAGATAAATATATAAAAGTATTTTAACTATACAATAAAATACTATTTGGTTATAAAAGGAAGGTATTATTGATACATGTAGTTGTTGTTATGAGCTATCGAGTCGCCTGAGACTCAGAGTGACCCTATGTACAACAGCCCTAAATCATGCTCTATCCTGTGCCAATCTTACTGTCTCGACACACCTAGCCCCATTATCTCAGTCACTGAATCCATTCGTCTCATCGAGCGTTTTCCTCTCTTGTGCTGTTCCTCCACCCTCCCAAGCATGACTTCCCTCTCCAAAGACTGGTCCCTTTTTACAACATATCCAAAGTATGTTAGACAAAACTTTAGAATCATTGCCTCCAAGGAGCAGCCTGGTCTCACCCTCTCTAAGATGAATCTGTTTGTTCTTCTAGAAGTCCATGGTATATTAAGTAGTCTTCTTCAACACCACAGCTCATAGGCATCAGTTCTCCTTCTATCATTTTTATTCATGGTCCAGCTTTATGATGCCAGACAAGTAATTTCGAAGACTATGGCCGGGATCAGGCACATCTTAGTTTTCAGACTGACATTATTGTTGCTCTTCAGTGCTTTGGAGAGGTCTCTGACAGCAGATTTCCAAGTGCAATTCATCTTTTCATTTCCTGGCTGCTAATGCTAAGAGTTTTGATTGTGGAGCCAAACAAACTAAAGGTGTTAGCAATTTCTTCTCCACCTATCATTATGCTGCCAATTGGCTCAGTGGTGAGAATCTTTTTTATGCTGAGCTTGAATCTATATTGAAGACTGTAGTCCTTGACCTTCTGAAGCAAGTGCTTCAGGTCCTCCTCAGTTTCAGCAAGCAGGGTTGTGTCATCTGCATAACACAGATTGTTGATGAGTCTTCCTTCAATCTAGATGCCACATTCCTCCTCATAGAGCTTGGTCTCCCAGATAATCTTTTCTGCATTAGATTGTAAAGGTATACATGCCATAATACAAGTGGACCTCAAAGCAAAATATATAATTCAGATGCATACTCTATTTTATTTATATTAATTAGTCCCCATACACAAATCCGTAGAAGTGGACATAGACTACTGGCTACTATAATCTGCAGAGATGGGGAATTGTCAGTGATGGTCAAAAGATCTTTCTTCTTTTTGATTGATGAGTGTGTTCTGGAAATATGTGGTTATGGCTGCACAACGATGTGAATATTAAACATCTGCATTATACACAATAGGAGGATAGATTTAATTGTATATGAATTGTTAATAAAGCTGTTATTTAAAAAATAATTCTAACTGTACAATTTTATTCATCCATAGCTGTTATTTATATCAGAGCCAGCTCTAACTCATAGTGACATTGTGTACAACAGAACAACATACTGCCCTATGCTGTGTCATCCTCACAGCTGCTGCAGTGCTTAAGCCCATTGTTGCATACTGGACGAATTCATCTTGCTGCTGTTTTAAAACTGACATGCAGTGACTGCAAGGAGATTATTGTTTTGTCATTGGGTAGAGATGGACAGGAGTAAAGAATTAGAAAAGAATATCAGACAGAACTCTCTAGGTCCCATTTTTGCTGAGGATAGGTTTTTTTGTTTGATTGTTTTCCTGATTCACGGTTCAGTGGTTGTCCAGCTGTGAGTCCCTCATTCCTGCCGCTCACGGTTCCACTGCTCCGGGGTCAGAGTCTTCTGTTCAAAGGCATGGATGTGCGGGAGCTCTTCTGCTAGTCATGAGTTCACCAGCCGGTGTCTCTGGAGCATCGGCTTCCCCTCGAACTTGGGGGACACCATCAGGACTCGGAAGCTGGACGCGCAACGGTTCAGAGTTGTGTCCTCCACCTCCACGTGCTCCGCTTCCAGGTCCTGCTGCAGCTTCTCCCGGAGATAATCAGCGCTGAGATCCATTGCTGCAGCCCAGAGTGGGCGGCAGCCTGGGGGACCGCAGCCCAGAGCGGACCTGGCCACTGAAGATAGTTTTTATATTGGTCAATGAATCAAAGGGAATCTTAACCAGAATCTCTGCCTGGTAGTAAGAAGAAAGATTGGAATTGATAGAATTTTCCAAATAGCATCAATTCGAACCATGACTCTGCAAAACAGACAACCGACCAAAAGTGAATTCTTCCATAGGAATTTCTTGGATAATAAGTCATTCAGTGATCACTAGATTTAAATATATATATATATGTAGTTCCTGTCATTTGTTACAACTACAAGGTAGTGATAGTAAGATCTTCAGGTGAGTGAGAAAATGAAGTTAGAAGGGAACTTCAACTCAACGTGCACAGAAAACAGACACCAATGGTGTAAGTAGGAAACTAAGAACACTTGAGAATGATCTTACAGTTTTGTGCATCAGTAGATCAATTTGTCTCACTGGGGATCTTCCTCTCTTTCACTGACCCTATGTCTTTGCAAGCATGATGTCCCTTTCCAAGGAACATCACCTGCCTCATCTTAGTTTCCAGAGATTGATGTATATTTTAAATTACTAGTCATATTTACTATTGATGCCTTGGGTGGAAAAAAAAAATCATGCTTGGAAAGGTGTAGCTGTCTGCAAAGGAGAAGTTCTCAGCAAGATGGATTGACAGTGTGACTTTCGCAGTGGGGTCTAGTGTGTCAGAGATGATGAGGATGGCACAGGATAGGGTAGAGTTCAGGTCGGCTGTTCTTAGGGTTATTATGAGTAGTATTCAACTTGATGGCACCTAACAACAAAGATCAATGAACAGTTGATATTACAAGTAAGTTATTTTTTCCTCCCTGAAGAGCATTAAAAACAGTTGCAACAGTACATTGACAGAAACTGTAAGAATCTCAAGCCAGATTCTGAAGAAGATGTATAACAAGGAGTATCACAGCTGATATCAGATGGACCTTGGCTGAAAGCAGAGAATAGAAGAAAGGTATTGATCTGTATTTTACTGAGAAAAGACATTTGACTGTGTTCATCATAACAAATTACAATTAAAATATAAAGAATACTCATTCAGTGATAAGAGCTTGTACGTAGACCAAGAAGCTGTTGTTGGAACAAGATAAAACAAGGGTATATGATGTGGTATAAAATCATGAAAAAGTCAGGTTTCTTTCTACCAAAGTTTATTTGTCAAGCATTAGTAAAAGTGTTGAACTTGGAAATTTAGAGATCCAGGAAAGAATGAGTAACAATGAGGTAGTAATTTTGTGTGACATATAATTGAATATTGAGTGTATACAACAGTAACCATTACATAAGTAAGAAGTAAAATACAAATCACTATAAAATTTTAGAAAGCAGACAAATGGATTAAAATTGTTCTTAGATCATTTAATTATCAGAAATTGGTGGTGGTTGTTGTTATGTACTATTGAGTTAGAACTGACCTACAGTTGACCTTCTAACAGGTTTTCAGAGGCAGTAAATTACATGAGAGGAGATTGGTTATCTTTCTTCCATCGAGTAGTTTGTGGATTCAAACCACATACTTTTGGGCTGGCATCAGACCCTCTTATCACTAGGCTACCAGAACTCTAATTGATATTAGACTTTGACAAATTATGTTATTGTTATGACAAATATTGAATTATATATCAAATCAAAGCAAATCAAATCTAGCAGCACCAATAAGAAAAATGTCAGAGCAGAAAATAATTTTTACTATAATGGTGCACAGGTAACAGTGAATAACAGAAAATAAATAAATGTAAATATAACCTTATTCATAAAACAGAAGACCAAAAGTTAGCACCACAAACACCCATAGAGTATATTATCTGAAATAGCCTATTTAAAAGACTAAAATCATTAAATTGTTCTAAATAGAAATATAATACTTATTGTAGGAGGAGACAAAATTAATTAAAAATGTAAAATAAAAAATTAGATGTTTATAAGTCAATATCATTAATGAATCTGTAATTCTCAATAACATCACAAAGTTGTAAAATCATAATTGTATTATAACTGCCTTACATTTCAAGAAAATAGGCACTAAAAGATTACTTAAATGATGTTGAAAGAGGAAAAATCTTAAAGGTATAACAGTTATCCCAGCTACAATGTGCACATTAAAATTAGTTCATTCCAAAACACAAAAAAGCATTGCAGAGGATTCAATATAAAACTATGATTTTTCAGATTTGTCCCTTAAAATCTTTAGGAAATTTATTTGCAACCTCAAGCTAGAAATTAGGCTGAAATGTCATTGTGTAAGCTATTGGGCATTATTTAACAAATGAGCTAGGATTTATTTGATATTAATAACTTATGTATCATATTAGCTGAATAATATCCTTCTCTTACATAATGTAACATACTATTGGGTTAGTGTCAACTTCTCCAACTCTGCCAGGCGGCTATAAAAGTGCATTGCAAAGAATAAAATGGCAAAAAAATATAATTGAGACTATGAAAGGAGAACCAGTAGAAATAATAAGAAAAGTGGCTGCAAAAACATTTAGAAATTTGATTCACTGGAAAAAAATTACAGACCAATCATAAATTTTTCTTCAGTAAAAAAATATATATCTTCTAGGAAAGCATTTCTTTCCTGAAGCTTCCTAAAACTACCTACTGAATTGTTTCTATATTAGGTGCTCCACTTCACTTTTTTCTTATTTCTGCAATAATATTTTCCTCACACGGCAATAGATCTTTTTGACTCTAACTCCGTATATAAAAGGGTTAAGCATGGGCGGCACAACAACATAAAAATTGGCTAAAAGTATGTGAATATAGCGTGGGACTTGGCGACCCAAGCAATATAGCATGAAAGATAAGAGAGCTGGTGTATAGAAGGCAAGAATTACAAATACATGTGAGCCGCATGTACTGAGAGCCTTGAGCTTAGCTTCACGGGAAGGGAGACGGAAAACAGCACTGAGTATCTGGACATAAGAAATACCAATGGCTACAATGTCAAAGACTAGATTAAAAATGGCACATAAACCATAAATAACATTGACTTTGATATTGGAACAAGATAAATGAACAATACTCATATATTCACAGTAGGTGTGAGGGATAACATGATTCTTACAAAAAGGCAATCGTATAATAAGAAATAGAAATGGAAACACAAAAATAAATGACCTGACTAGGACTCCAAGGCCAATCCCAGAAACCACCTTGTTAGTGAGAATGGTGCTATATCGCAGGGGATTGCAGATGGCCACATAGCGGTCATAAGCCATTGCCAAGAGGACTGCTGATTCCATAAGTGTGAAGTTGTGAATGAAAAACATCTGTGTGAGGCAGGAATCAAATAATATCTCTCTGAGGTTGAACCAGAAGATACCAAGCATTTTAGGGATGGTAGCTGTGGAGAGACCCAAGTCAATGGAGGCCAACATGGCCAGAAAGTAGAACATAGGCTGGTGCAGGCTGCTTTCTGTCTGAATCACAAACAGAATGGTGAAGTTCCCTAGGAGTGCAATCACATATACAGCACAGAATAGAAAGCCAATCCAGATGTGTAGCATTTCCATTCCTGGGATCCCCAGCAGTTGGAAAGATGTGGGGTGGAATTCTGTGTCATTGGTGGAGAACATTCTATATGGCAATACATACGTATGCAATTTTTAGAATAATGTGCTCACTCAGTCTGCAGGGAATCAGATAGACTGCAGAAATAGAAATATGAAGAGATATCATAAGAACATCATAATATTTTATACATCCTCTTTTGCAAACAATTCTATCAACTTAAATTTATTATGAACTGAACTCTAGTTAGAAGTAGCATCTCAAGATAAGACTCTACTGTTTTCAAATATGTTGCCATCCTCTTTTTGTTACTTAACACATTTCTTCTTGTGATTATAGGAAGACATTTTTTTCTAAACACTCATTTCCTTAGTTACTACTTTTTCTACCCTTTGCTATTTATCATCACTAAAAAAAATCCTCTTTAAATTTTTAACATAGAGATCTTCTAGTCCTTATATACACAAAACCAAATACAATCCGCCGCCATATAATTGCTTCTGACACATGGCAACCTTCTATTGGGTTTTTGACGTGGTAAAGCTTAATGGGAGAATACTTTGCATCTCTTTCTTGTGAAGCTACTGGTTGACTCTACCTTTCACTTAGAAACCCTTTATGTAATTTACTGTGCTACCAGTGCTCTTTCTAAGTATACATGTGACTGTTAGTTCTGATTAATAAGAATACACAAGAATTAGTATGCAGTATGTGCAGTCTTTGCAATTACTTGCTATGGATCAGAAAGCTGGACAATGACTAAAGATGACAAAAGAAGAATCAATGGCCTTTGAGTTGTAGTGCTAGAGAAGAGTATTGAACAAACCATGGACTGCTAGGAGAACAAATAGGTCTGTCTTGGAAAGGATAAAGTCAAGATTAGCCTTGGAGGCAAGGATTTTGAAGCTCAGTCTCACACACTTTGGGCATGTGGCCAGAAGGGACCAGTACTTAAAGAAGGATATCAGGCTTGGAAGGGTGGAGGAGGCATAGGAGAGGAAGATCCTGCATGAGATTGATTGATAGTGTAACTGGAATAATGGGATTAGGTGTGGTGGAGTCAGTGAGCCCGGCGCCACGCTATTTTACATAGTGTGGCTATAAGTCACAGGCAACTCAACAAAATGTACAATAAATAGTTAATAACTGTATACAGTTAAAATGTATATCAACATATTAAAATAATGTCTAAAACATAATTATAACTAATTTTTTAAATATTTAATCATTAAAAAAAGACCACCACCCATCTCTCTATTATTTTTTTTGTACTGTGGTGACATGTGTACTGCTACATGCTCAACATGCCTCTGGTATGATTCTGCTACTATGTGTGATGAGATATGATATGATATGATATGATATATGATATGAAGCTCTAGTGGCCTAGTTACAGGAAATTGCACTGCAATCCTGAAGACACGTGGTTCCAATTCACCAGCTGCTCAATGGGAGTAGGATGGGTAATCTCTTCGCATGAGATTAACTGCCTCTGAAAACCTGCTGGAGTGTCAACTACGGGTCAGTTCCGACTCTATGGTGCACAACATGACGTGAAAGTTGTGCTACTAATAATTTAAATATCAACAATTAACTCATGGTACTCAGGTTTCAGTAGTTTCCTGACTAGGAAAAAAAAGACATGCTAATATATTCTAAAAGCATATTTTCTAGTAATTTTCTAAAAGTTGAACTCACTAGCTTAGATGTTCAAATACATAATGGTTTAAACAGTGGACTTGAACATGGGCCCTTAGCAAGGATGACATGCAAATTTGTGAAGCGTTCCATATTGTTATACAATGACCGGGGCAATAGGGATTGGTGTGTCAGAAATAGACTGGTTCAGGATAGGGCAGGGTTCAGAGCTGTTGCAAATAGGGTCGATGGCACACAAAACAACAACAACAACAATAACAACGTTTCATTGCACTGGTATTGCCATAAGTCAGGCTTATTGAACTCAACCAACAGCAACAAATCAATAATCTCAATGTGTAATGCTAGAATTCAGAGTTCCCTAAATATCCACATAGCTTTTTAGGAAAATAAAGGAGCTCTGAACTCTTTAATGAAATACATTGGTCATTTGAAGAGTTGGTATTTATGGAGTATTTATAGGAATGATGGAAATTTTACAGATATTGTTTCTATTCAACAAGGAATTGTATATATATCTCATGACATTTCATCGAAAGCAATAAAATTAAGATATAATCATAAGAAGTAACATTTCTTGTAACACAGAAACACTTGTGATTTTATAACTTCTCACAAAAATAGCACAATGCTTAAACACAAAATTTAATTATTGAACTCTTCATCATGTTTCAATTAAAAATTTAGGCTTAGTCTTGCTGTTGTCTATCAGAATAAATATTTAGGTTTATTGAGTTGTATAATTCAGACATCTGAGCATCTTTTTCCTTTTTATTCCTTCAATCAAATAAAAACATTCATTCCACCTCTGAATATATCAATAAAATCAGTACATCTCTCATCAACCTAAAGGAATTGTTTTAAACTATTTTCTGTTCTATGGTTGATTACAGGACAGTATTTCCTAGTGTGTCAGAGCAAAAATTCTTTAGTCAAAATAATTCTAATTAAATCCATTTTCTCTATTTGCTCAGTGGTCAAAAGAAAGTAAATACATACTGTATATGTGTAAATATGTAATAAATATGTCTGTGTGATCTTAAACAATTAAATTAATATCTGTTTTCTTAGATATCCTTATCTGTAAAATATAATAAATATACTATATATAAAGATACAATCTTAGAGTTGTTAGTTTTAAAAACAGAGCACCTCTTCAATGAACTTCACTTGTATTCCCAAGTATTGTTACTCACCATTCTTCTAATATATGGCAGAATGATTTTTCTAAAATACACAATCAATTCATTCAGGCTGAAATCCAAACACTTTTACTTATATTAGGGTCTTTTCTAATTGTATTTCTATTTATTCCTTAAGGTTTGGTTTTTTTTTAGTCTTTTTTCCCTAATGCTTGTCCTTTTTATCTGCATCTTCTCTTCTCTTCATTCCTTCCTCTTTCCCTTCTTCTCATGGTGATTTAAATGTGCCCCAGTCAGCAAACTGGGAAACAAGGAAGACTCACCTGATTAAACAAAAAGGTGGAGTCCTATCTCTCTTCTGTCTCCTCTTCCTTGGTATTTATGAGGGCATTGCTCCTTATTGGGAAGAGTTTTCAAGAGAAAATTCCCTAGAGTTGGTTTTGGAAAGCACACAGTATCAGAGGATTCTAGTTTCTAATCTGGTCCTGAATCAGAGGCAGAAACCATCAGTCGATAGCTGACTTATGATAATCTCTTCTCACTGTATACTGAAAAATGCATAGGATCTGACACAATAGATACAAGCTGAATTAGCCTCTCTCACGAACACTAAGCAAGACTCACATCAGTAATTTTAGTACAAACTTGGGTTCTTTTGCTTGGAGATACTGATTCTCAAGGGCTAAATACAGTCATTGAGAACTATAAGAAAGCTAAGAAGGAACTGAAACGGCTATTAGAATCTACAGGAGAGGTATTGCAGTAGGAAAGTCTGCAGTATATTAGGGATTTTACCAAATTACAGAAGAGCAACAATGTCAGTTTGAAAACTAAGGGGCACTGATTCAGGCCATGGTCTTTTCAATACTTTCCTGTGCATCTTAGAACTGGACAATAAACAAGGATAACAGCAGAAGAATGCATTCTTCTGAGTTGAGTTTTTGGAGAAGAGTACTGAATATTTCGTGGACTTCCAAAAGATTTTCTCTTTGGAGGGAAAGATGACAATGGTTTGTCCCAGATACTTTGATGTTGTTGCTGGGAGGGGCTATTCCTTGGAGAGAGATTTCATGCTTGGAAAGGTAGAGGATTAGCGAAAGAGAGGAAGGTCCTCCACCAGATGAAATGACACAGTGACTCCTGCAATGGGCTAAAGTATGTCAGAAATGATGAGGTTGGCAAAGTCAGGACAGCATTCAGATCTGTTTTTCATAGAGTTATTGTAAGTTGTACTTGACTCAACAGCACCTAACAAAAACAACAATACTTACTCTAGCATTAAATTCTTTCTTCATTATCGTACTTGAAAGAATCTACAGTTTTATTTTTATGTAAATGATATTCAATGTCCTTTGATCCATTATTCTGAAGTTTACCTACTCAAATATTTGCAGTTTTGAAATCACAGTATTAGCTGTTTTTATGGGAAGATACATTTCTGATTATTCTAGAATTTTAAAAATCTTAAGTCCTATCATAATACATGTATGGAAGCTTCCTTTTAAAATAGAAATGTCATTCTAGATTCTAGTGTTCATATTTTAGAAAGTTGCAAAATAATTAAATACCCATCTAGTCATTAAAATAAATGAAAATGATGCTGATGTATAGTTTGCAAAGCCAAGGAAACAGATAAACTAGTTATATAAAAACAACCATTTTGGGCTGCAATACAAAGAAAATAATGATAAAAATAATGTTAGCAAAGAATATTTAAGGTAACAATGAAGCAGAAAATAATTCAATGCAATCTTAGTCTATAAGTACAGGTTATCTGTGAGCATAATTAGGTGTTCTAGAAAACTCATCTACAATATTTTCCATAATTTTTGAATTTTAAAAGTGATTCACACAGTCAAATGAGTTTAAATATGTCCTTGTTGCTAAGTGCCCTCAAGTTCCTAACACTTCTTTTCAATGAATCTGAACCCTACCCCCTCCTGTACCATTCTATCTCTAACATACTTGAGCCCACCATTACAGTTACTGTGTCAGTCCATTTAGGTGAAGGTCTTCCCCTATTTTGCTGACCCTCTACCTGTCTAAGCATTATATCCTATTTCAAGGACTGGCCCATCCTAACACACCCAAAGTATGTGAGAAAAAGTTTCTCTATCCTTTCATCCAAGAAACACCGTTCTTCTGGAATTCTATGGGATATTCAGCATTCTTCTTCAACCCTACCTCAAAGGGATTTCTTCTTCTTGTCATCATTATTTATTGTCCAATTGTCAGGCATACAGCAGGTAATTGAAAAGATTATG